GTGTGTGTGTGTGTGTGTGTGTGTGCAGCCAGGCAGTGAGCGTGGGTAAAATATCCCTAAAAGCCTCTATTCTTTTGGAGATTTGTAGGTTTGTGAAAAGTTGACAGTGAAATAAATGGTCACGTTTTTTTCTTCTCCCTCTTTTGTTGGCTCGTGTTTTTTTGTCATTCTGAAAAAATGCTGGTAAAGTTCGTTACTAGATGTGTGCATCTGTCAGTCAAGCTTCGCTGTCTATAAGAATCTAATAAAGAGAAAATATTTTATAGTGTAAACTTCATTCCATCTCAATACCTTGTACATTCTCACGTGTCACCTCCTATAAGCTACATTACAGGACAAGCAGGAAGTCTTAAGACTCATTTATGCTCAACATTAATATATGGAAACCGTCTGTCCGTGCTCTACGTTCATTTTGTCCATCTTTGTCTTCTGAAGCAGCCATTAGTTGAAGCGAGACGACCATAAGACATGAAGAAGAAACTTCAACATTAACTAGAACTTTTTGAGGCAAGACTTTGTGAGAGAGTTGGTAAGAAACTACAGACTTCTACATGATGTCACTTCCTTCTCAACCTCCTCGACCATCGTCATTGCTGCTCAACCACGCCAACGTAAAAGATGCGTGGAAGCATGGGGGCATTGTTAGAAATGGACGTTTCTATTTTTCGTAGCTAAAAGCAGCATAAACGAGCCTTTATCCATCACGCAAAACACGAACCTTTAAACAAAACGTCCCTGTTGCCATCCAGCACGTTGATTTGCATCATGTTCCACACATCTAAGTGTTTTTCTGATGAGATTACATAATGTTTTACTGATTTGTAGGATGATTATGTCAATATGGAGGTGATGGTAGAAAGGGAAACGCGTCCAATTTCGTCACATCTTCGAGTCGTCAGGTGGAGGTTATATTACATCATTATTACATCAATACAGAGATGATGAGGGAGGAACTAAACAAACCTCCCCTTCCAATCCAATGACGCCTGGGATCGATACGCTGTCAGGGACATGGACTATATGACAATGATGTCTAAATGGAGGTGAAAAAAGAGGGACAAGAGAGAGAGAGATGCTGAGAGCGATGGCGCCAATCCAATCTTGCCGAGTGTGGGTTATACGCTCTCTGACAACTGTATCAACCTCATCAATATTATGGAGGTGAGGCGCGAAAGAGGATTATATGATAGCTGTGTCCATGTCGGAGGCAATGAGACAAAAAGCAGGAGGCTTAAGTTTACCCTGCACACATCAACGTGCTGTTCCCACACTGGTGGCAAAGATCTAACACTTTAAAAAATGCTTTGAGGCAACCCGAAGCTTGAACTCTCAAGGGAACCAAACTGAATATTGATGCATAGTCTTAAAAATATACCGGCATTTAAATTGAGCCTCAACTTGTCTGTCAATGAACCATCTTTGGAACTCGGATCTCTGAAGAACCTCTTTCCAAACCTTGTTTTTTTACAGCTACAGAACTTCAGACTTTCGTTCACTACCCAGAGTTCTTGAACGTAGGTGAAGGTACAACGTAAATCGACTGGTAATCAGAAAGCTTTGGCCTTTTCGGCTGAGCTCCCTCTTCGCCACAATGGTCCTGTAAGATGTCCGTCAACCACCTGTCTACTCTAATCAACTCCCAACATTTCATTAGGTCTAACTAATAATTTATAGATTGTGTTAAAAACAAACACTTGCTTTGTCTTTGTGCTTAAATGATAGTTTTAAAAAGCTGCACATCCATGTTGCAGGTTCCTTTTTTTTCCCCAGCTATAGATCTGTGTTGATACTTTAATTAACACAGCTGAGGTCCAGTACGAGCATCAGACTTAACATCAGGGTAAAAAAAAAAAAAGGACAAAGTGAGAGAGACTGACAGACAATTTGTTCTTGTCCTGCTTTATCAGATCTAAAGCTGTCAAGGCATCGAGCAGTCGATAAGTTGTCTGTGATGAGGAGAGCTCATAGGCCATGATGGCTATCACCACTGACAACCACCACCAGCAACGATAGACGAGACTGACATGAGACGTATATAAAGAGAGAGAGAGGGAGAGAGACGGGCCCGGCATCACGCTCATGTCCGCTCAGTCGTATCAGATCTTCGGTGCAGGATCTCGGTGCGGTGAGCGGAGGCTGCGAGCCTGACGGATCTGTCTCACCACCACCTCTCACATGTCAGAGACGATGATGGGAAAAGATAGAGAGGGGACGATGATGATGATGTATGAGCACCATAATTGACTCGACTGAGAGATAATATATAATATAGAAAGAGGGAGAGCGAAGAAGGGAGGGTTATTGGATCGTCGGGTGTAATTTGAGAATGATTAATGGTTATAGACAAGTGGAGAAGATTGATATGATGTAGTTCTCTGTGGTGATTTTAAACCCGGGAAGAGTGAGAATGAAGCGAGATCAGCCAAAGGAGACATAAACATGAACATCATACGACCTGACACTCGGTAAAACACACTGAGTCAAGTGAAGTTCAGATCATATCACTGACCCACAGTTTAACGCAGTCACAGACAACGGCCTGACGCCAATATACGCAAGAAAAGCTCACTTTCACATCGACTGTGTTTGATCCAGATCCTCTGACTTTAACGTTATCAGGTGTGAAAGGTGAAAGGAGTGTAAGTGTGTGTGTGTGAGAGAGAGAGAGAGAGAGGGAGACGGATAGAGGGTGTGCAGGAGAATAAGACGGATAGATGGGACATGTGATTGCCATTTGGCGTTTGATAGGCGGAGAAAGAGAACCCCAGCTGGGGTCATGTCACAATCTGTCTACTCGGTTACATCAATCTGCAGCTCGGAGGGAGAGAGGGAAGGAGGGAGGGATAGAACTGGAGAAAGAGAAGTTAACATCTTCACCTCTCCTCCGGGTGCAGAAAGTGAGACTATTTCAACATCATACTTTTCATTTCTGCCACTTCTGAAATCAGTGTTTGCAACTTAAACGGCCAAAGAATGTGGGTTTAAACAAATGTGATGATTCATCGTGTGGTAAACACCCGAGAGCCTCCAGAGGAAACTATAAATACTACTCGTGTTGTTCTTTTCATTTCTGGCTTGTACTCTGGAGAAGTTATTCTTTTTCACTTACCGGCACGACACAGTGCACAGAGTAAGGTCAGAAGAAGAAGATTACCCAAATCCACTCCCTGTTCTCTTCTGCAGTAACCGTGGGAGCCACAGTGGAGTTAGGGAAGCCGAATACAAAAAACGACTCAACTGAATTTTCCGCACGGATGCGCTCTAATGCTTTCGGAGACGGACGAGTTGTGTCCCAATTCAGGGGGTGCGTCCTTCGGAGGCTCAATTTGAAGACTGATTGGATCACAGCTGCATGACTGTTCACGGATGTACCATTCGTAGGGCTCCTTCCATCCCAGAGCAACAAAGGCTCCAACAGGTGGATCCTCCTCAGGACTACCTATCCCAGGATTCATTCTCGTCCTCCAAAGGTGGGGCCCCTGAATTGGGACACCTATAGAGTCAACTGCTCTTTTTAGTGGGACAGAGGTCAAGAGAAGAGACACAACAAGCACCACCTAATGACTTTGTACAGTCATCAGCTGGGATTAGGGTCTGTCAGTTCTCTGATGCATCTGGTTTTGACAATGAATAATTCTGCCTAAGACATCATCCGTCTCCTGAAACTCAAATCCCTTCACCCTGCAACATTTTCTGCAAGAACTCCAATGAAAAATAGAAAGGTACCAGTAGGCAGGGCAGGGTCCATGGTGGGTTTTTCCCAGGAGTTGACTTGTTCCCAGGTAAATCCATTGGTTCCCAGAGACACGCTGTACCCGCAGCTGCTGTACGACTCTTCAAAGGTGCAGCCGCCTAAACAGGGAACGGAAAATATGACGTAAATTAAAACAGAATATGCAGATTTTAACTACACAAGCACTTCAGGGTTTCATATACAATTGAGACTTGATGGTGACGGAGCCATCGGGCTTGAAGATCCTGACTGTTATCTGGAATATATATAGAAAACAATAACACGCCAGAAAAACAGACATGATCTTTGTATTCATGATAAAAATAGGAAAAGTAAAGACAGACGATAAAACAAAGACAAACTAAAAGGAGACTTGAAGAGCAAACGTCTCACCAGGACTCATTGGCAACTTTATTGATCCATGCACAAAGATATTTTGTGCAAACTCACATTAAATACAAAATATCCATTAGCTTAAAGGAATATGTGCTGTATAAAGATAAAACCCGTTAAAATACTTATTTTGATTCACAACATCTGGATCATTATCTGGATCTGCAGCACATTTCACTTATTTATAGATATCAGCACTTTACACATGCTGATCGTTCCCCGAACGATTTCTGGCAGAACAGAAACTAACTGTTAAACTTTAAAAGAATTCAGGTTTCCACAGAGTTAGAGCAGCCGGTCTGTCTTAAGAGTCGCACATTAAAACGATTAAGTTGCTGAAGCCCTAAAAAAAAAGATCTGGAATATGATTTGATTCAAGCAGTTGCTGTTTTTTTTAACCCACATCTTTAACCACTTCTACAAGATTTTCTTTTCCAAGTGCTCTTTGCGCAGGAATCAGTGCTTTCATAAGCTGCTGTTGACAACATTATACTAATTGAGTTATCAGCATGAATAGAAAGAGCCACTGCAAGACAGACACTGTCAGAGTTTATCAGAGAAGAGTGGAGTGCACGGGAGGGTGGGGGGGGCGGGGGGGGTGAGAGAGCGTGTCTTTATATGAGAGAGCGGCAGAAAAAGAGAAACCTCTGTGTGTCAACATGATTAAGTCACAGTCTCATCGTTATTTCATGGCCCAGCTCAGACACATTTTCCACTGCATTAGCCTTCTCTTCTGGCCTAGAGCACCACACACACACACACACACACACACACGTCCCTAATTAGACATATGCTTTGACACACAACCATTTTAATTTGTTTGGAAGCATTTGGACTGAGGGAACGTCGTTGCTTTATTCATGAAACCTCCTAATGATACTTTTTGTCGTCTTCTGTTGGCAGCGCATTTGTTAATTTAATCTTCAAAATGAAAGAGAAACTTCAACAGTGAGATGTTTGTGGATCTGAATGAAACCAAAGACTCAGCGATGCCGGAGAGTCATTCAGTGCATCGGGGATCTACGCTCAAAGGCAAAATGTGCAGAAGCAGATTTTATTTAAGGAGATTAAGATTTAGATAAAATGTAAAAGCTGCATATCAACATTTCTCCATTGTAATGAA